CGGAGCTGGTCGTATCTCGAAAAATTTGTAAGGAGGGGCGTTCGTAACTTGAGGTACCACTGTATACTGTTCAACATTTTTTCCTATGCATCTAAAAATAATATTGTATATCTGCAGCAAAGAAGACATAAATTACTAGATGCTTTTCAGTGAAAGAAGAAACAATGAGAATAGTCTGTATTTTGGATGCCGAGGAAAATATGGCAGGAATCAGTTTCAGAAAATATATTGTGTTTATAACTGCCTTGTCGTATAGTGATAATACTGACAGATCATCTTTTACATTTCCAAACACAGACATATAACATAGAACTTAAAATATTCCTTATAGGCAATGTGTATAATCCAGACTATACAATAGTTGTTATTGTATAAAAGTACTTATTATTATAATTTCAGATATGGTTTCACAAAAGAAATTATGAAGAAGTACAAGGTCAGTATTTTATCTCATTTTGATAGAGGCCATCAAATGAACAAGGCTGAATAATGTGACAGAATAGATTTATGTGCTGTTTTACATAAATTACCAGGCCATTAGCAATTATAGCCTAGAGATATCCTAAATCCTAAATAGCCTAGAGATGTCCTAAAGAAATACTTGCCTCCATTTTTTCCTGTTTTATTGTAAAGCCAAAAGGAAGCTGTCCATAGGCCTTAAGGAACAGTTCAAGAGTTTCTGGGAATGGAATCTAATCCAATATTTCATTTGACAGACCTATGGGAAACCAATTTTGCATCTTCTACAAGATGTCTACAGCTGGCTTCCTCTTGCAACTATTATTGACAACCAAGCTCTTATCTTACATGGTGGAATATCAGATACTACAGATTTGAATTTCCTGAATTCGTTCCACAGGAACAAGGTAGAAATTATGCACAAAAAGTACTTTGTTATCCGGCTGAGTTTGGGTCCAGTCTCGCTCATAAGAAGTAAAATTCTACTAATTCAGTGAGAATTAAGCATTTAAAGAACTAGAGATAATGTACATAATATTAGGATAGGTATCATTTCTATAATAGCATGGTTTCTTTTGTTGTAGTATATACATATTTGTCTTTCTCTGCATTTCATCTTAAAGAGGTTAAAGTCATGTTTTCAACATAAATACTTTCTAATTTGTTAATGTAAGTTTTAGACTGAGTGAAAAACAACATATCTGAAACAAAAATCATTGAGCAGGGAGTTGTATCATTAGATTATACATATATACATATATATGCCTGGCATACAGTATATGTACAGTACTGTGCAAAGGTTTTAGGCAGGTGTGAAAAAATGCTG